CACCGGAACGATCAACGAAAGCCTTTGTGCACAGTTCAGGCCCCATTCGGAATCTGTTGGTCGAAATTACAGCTCGAGAGCCGGTCTGAAATCAAACAAAGCCCGGCATCGCAATGCCTAAAACATTCGTTCACCGTTCACCATTCAAAGAGTGCTGTATCAGAAGTCAGAAGCAAACCATCCTTCATGCTTTTGGTCTCATTTGTCAAGTAGGTTCATGTGAACAAAAGTGAGAGGAGTCTTGAGCCCCTGCTGAAGTCGCATACAGTCTTGGAGCATCTGCAAGCCTTTAATAGATTCAGTCCCTCAGTGTCGAACCAGCTCGGCATTTCAGGGGGGCCTTGGAAACGGAACATGCAAGTCAACTGTCCGCGACAGCAGCCCGACCGATTGCAGTCGTACATGTTACTCTTGTGACCTGGTGACCCGTCTGGAGAACAGTAGCCCCTAGTAGCTTCCTTGCTCCTAGTAGCGATGTCAGGAGCCCCTAGTAGCGTCCTTGCTCCTGGCCTGTATGAGAATGTCTTCGATCGAAGAACCATTATTCACTATATATGTCTAAAAACCGCAGCTTAAGGCATTGAGTTACCCTCATTTACATTCAACACCTGGGTTACTGTGCAACACCTGGGCAATGTCGTTGGAATGTCATCATCCGCTGTATTTTGACACTGTCTCTTGTCGGGAATGTGTGGGCTTGCAACTTTGGGTTTTGCCGGCAGCAGTTAATGCAGCTGCATTTGCTGGGCAAAAGGGCTTTCAACTGTGCCCAGTCTTCTACGGCTTGCAAGGGGCACGCCAGTGCACCCAAAGCCCTCAGAGTTTGAACCCATGCTGTGCACAGTCAATGGCTTGAATCTTGAATCTTGGAGCCCTCATTTTATCAGATTTGTATAATGTGTTGTTGCTCCCACTTCCATTATATGCCTCTCTGCTGCTTCGGCTGTTCCTCAATGTCGGTTTGTGTCTTCTTCTTCTGATCTGCGCTTGCTCATGCAAGGGCAGTACGTGCAATGGAAACCCAACCTGAAGTCCCTCGGCCTTTTGAGATCCCACACCGCTACTAGGAGCAAGAACGTTACTAGGGGCTCCTGGCATCGCTACTAGAAGCACGGACGCTACTAAGGGCTCCTGGCCTTACTACTAGGAGCAAGAATGCTACTAGGAGCTACATAACCACTATATCACCCCTTGAGTGCAAGCATACTGAAAAAAGATTGCTGCGAGTGTCTCGCGCATGTCGTATGAGTCATCAATTGTCACGTGTTCAAGTTCAGCGGTGCAAAAGACTTGTCTTGCTTGTAGTTGTTGTTCTGCAGCAAACTTCTTGCGAGATGTCCTAGCGATGCGGAAGACTTCTGGCGATCATCAGGCTGAGATGGCCACTTGTTTGTCCGCCGAAGGTACTTGACCTCAGATAAGATATGGAAGTCAGCACAACTTGCAGGCGATTCAGCACAAAATGGTACAAACAAATGTAAACAGTGCAAAGACTTGCTTGAGTCTGGCACGCCCCTCAATGAAACCGCATGCGCAAGTCCACACTATACACAGGCAGCTTAAATCAAACTGGATTGGAAAGAGTTGAAGGGGGAGCGCAAAATTAAAAAAGGCTTGAGTTTGCACACAAACCGTGCAAAATCAGTCCTTCTCTTGCTTTCCCTTCCAACCACATGGGATGTGAGCGGACGAGTGGCGCCCTGCCCCGGTGGCTTCGAACGTGGTGGAGGCTGCTCCACCACCCGGCGTTGCTGATCAGCCGATGCCCGGCGACTGCACAGTGATGCCATGGTGTTGGTCTCTAAGCGCGCGAACAAGCTGCTAGTAGTTCTTCGCTCCTAGTAGTAAGGCCAGGAGCCCCTAGTAGCTTCTTGTTGCAACCAGATTTGACCTTTCTTCCAGTCTTCCCTGTCACCAGTAGCTTCTCGCTACTAGTAGTACTGGCCTCCAACCTAATAGCGGTGGCCTCCAACCTAATGGCACTGGAGCCATATGATTTCATAGTCACGGTAAACCCATATTGGATCTTTCATATCAATGTGTCTCAACTGACTGACACCAACGAATAGACGTCCCCCACTTTCTCTCTCTCTCTCTCTCTCTCTCTCGCTGTCACTCCACTCGCTCAGTAAGGTACAAACAAACAAACAAACAAACCAACAAACAAACAAAGTGAATCCTGCACTTCCAGTATGTTTCAGCTGTAGCCCTGGTTCCAGTTGCGAAACGTATGGAAGGGGTGATGCCTCGGGTTTTTGGACTCGTTCAACCAAGTCTTTCACTGTGAGGTTTGCCTGTACAGCTCGAAGGCCACAGTGCTGGTCGAGGATGCTTCACCTATTCCGCAGAGTTCTCCGATATCGGTCGGGATCGCTGTTGGCGTCGACTAATCGACGTGAACTGGACAAGGGACACAATGCGGTAAGGGCACTGCTATCTGTTTTGACCGACCCCTATCTCGCCTAGAATCCGAGACTAGTTTAGTAGCTGGTCACAAGGTATCTCGTCTTGTGACGGGCCCCATCTTGTCCACAAGCGAATACCGACGTTGGACAAACACGTAGTATAAATAGTGCATGCCCTACACTGCTTTACTGAAGCGCAAATAACGGTGCTTGCTCGTCAAGAGAACAAGAGGACCCTTGTCCTACTTATGGAATCGTAGACTCGGGACCTTTAGCGGAGTTGTTTCGATTTCAAGTCCAGCACTGTCTGAATCCGATCCGTTGCATGAAAACATCTTTGACATGCGCAATAGGCCTCCTGCATCTGTGTCCAACACGGTCCGTCACGTTCTACAAAGATCTGCAATGTAATATACGTATGTTTTTGTACATTTCAACCCCAAGCCTGCAAGTCATTCCTACCACCCCACACTCGCCTGCGATAGGATCGTCCTCTGATGCCTGGACAAACTTGTCAATCTGCAGATTGAAATTCCCACTCAGGAAATCTAGCTGTAAGAACTTGAAGGACCAGCACACAAAAAATAGAGAATTTAGAGAGCAATAGGAAAAGGAAGAAGTCCTAGTCCTAGGCCGACAGTCCCAAAGTCCTCCTCGTTTCGCGACATCAACAACTGAATCACGCGTCGCACGTGGCCTTCAAGCCGAAGAAGATGGACTCTGCCTCCACAAGATGAGGAAGTACTGATTGACCCAAGGTAAGGCCCCATGGACAGCTTCTTGTTACTGGTAGCGATGGCCTCCAACCTACTTGCGATGGCCTCCACCTAGTAGCGTCCTTGCTCCTTCTTTGTTATCTCTATTTCATTCTTTTTCATATCTTTATCTCTTCATTTATGTTTGGAGGTCAAACACGTCCAGCCCATGTCTCCTCCAACCTGAGTGCCCTTTCAAACTGAGAGTGGCATCTTTTGCGGGCGAAGCTCAACTTGGACTCAGCTGGGGAAGTCTTTATGAAGCGGCCAAAAACTAGGCACTGTCTAAAGATGTAGCGACGCGGCCTCAAACAACGCCTGTCGCTTTCAGTTTACAGGCTGTCCTGTGTCTGAGACATCGACTGCTGTGTCGAACAAAACTGCTTTCAGAAGGGCCCTGCTGGCAGTCAGAATGAACGAATGTTTCCATGCGCGGATGTCTCAGCTCGCGGCAGAGATTTTCCTGCCTGCGCTTATTTTACAAACCTGGTCCCAAAAGAGGTCAACCAGTCCTTTCAATCTGCGCTTCCTCCAGCCCTTTCAGCCGAAGATGCCGGATTGACCCCTCCTTTGGCAGCATAAGGAGCTGCGAGAGGCAAGTGGTTCCGGCTGAGGCACCCAGAGCCTCTTTGACCCGGGTGTTCAGTCCTGTTTAAGCAGTTCTGCAGTGCAAAGTCCCGCCCGCAGGGACGAGGTTATGCGATTTTTTGGTTTTAAAATCAGTCCTGTCACTCGTGTGCTCAGACAGCAACATAACAAAGAGCTGGCTCAGCTTCTGCAACAGCTACGAGTACCATCATCCTTTACTTTGTGTGGCAGCACCAAACGAGCCGAACGAGGACACTATCTCCAACCTGTGTCTTCCAAGTGACGTTGCCAGCAAGGTCTGCGCTAAAGCAAGAGAACCAGCATCTTTGGGGAAATATTACTTGGCGCCCCGACACATTATTCATGATTCGACGAGCAAGTCAACCATGGACCGTAGAGGGTGCAAAGGCGGAGTAATTAGATCGTTGTTTTTTGCTTTCTGCAATTCCTTTCGCATAGGGATGGTGGGGGAAAGCCCCAGTCGCTTTTGGTCTAGTCTATTCATATCTAGTCTAGTCTAGTCTAAGTACTTGACTGCTGAAGTTTCGCAAGCATCCAGCTCTGGCTTTGCTGACCCCAGATTTCATCTCCAAGCAAGGGGCTGCATGGAAAAAAGAATTTGGCACTTCAGAAATCCTATAACCTGAGCAGATAGCTTGCAATACTTCCAACTAGGACGCAATGCCGGCAACGTCCAGGAGGCTTCCAGTTTCAAAAACCTGGAAGGTCAACAATCAAACCTGCACACACTATCCAAGAAGCACCAACTAAGCGATGGTCACAGAGATGCTATGACTGAAACTGAATATCTCACGTTTAGGAATGGGGCCTCTCTGGCTGCATGACACCATACAATCGGATGGCAGGGATCCCAGGGCACACTTTTGAACTAGCCGCAGAAATGTATCATGCGAACAAAAAGCAATCCGATTTGATCCATTTAGATACTGTATATAATTGGGGAATCACTAGTTTCCATTGATTACCATTCACAGGCAAAGGTTCAGGGCACCAGTTGGTCAGACCTGCCCATGTTATTTCATACAGTATTTGCTTTAGGCCATTGCTTCAAAGGCCACTTATCTTGCTGACCAAACGTTTAAACTGACAGTGTTCAAGTCAACCATTGTTTTGTGAAAATACATACTCTGTGCATTTGTTTGTGCTCTTTAGAGCCCATCAAAGCGCAAACAACACAAGTATGGGCTTTACGATGCCTTACATGGCTTTAACAACGGTGCTGTGCATCTTGCTATCGCAACCCTGTTCGTGCTCGTGGCGGTCTTGCCTGGACAGAGCTTCGGACGCAGCCAAAGCTGCTTCTTTCCATGGGCAGAAAAAGGAAAAGACAGTCAGAGTCAACTCCACTCAAACATGTTGAGTCTGGAAACACAGTCTTTAGGCACCTTGACACTGGCTCCACAGCGAGGACAATGAGTTTGGCCTCTGTGTAGACGAGTCCGGCAATGAATGCCTCATGCGAGGAAGAACAAAACCCGGGTGCGAAGCCTGTCCTGAACCTCCCTCGGTGAGTCGCATTGGAAAAGGACGAGGCCGCATGGGTTTTTACACCAGTGCATGCCCTGCGAAGAGCATGGTTGAGGCCTGGCTGTCAGATCTTTGTTGGGTGGCGATGCTGATTAACTGTGATCGTTCATAGCCCACTTCCATATGAACTTTGAGCTCCTTTTAAGAGCTTCCACGTTGAATCAGAGATGTTCCACATTGAAATGTGGGTGCCAGCGTAACAGTTGAGACTCGAAGCACAGAAGACTTGACTGTCGGCCCTTGTTCATTCTATACGCTAGGAAGACCTTGGATCCCAAGCCCTCAAAAATTCTCAAAGTCCATTACACTGTTGGGGAATGGGCCACCTTTATTTCTTGTTTGCGGTGATGTGTTTGTTAGCTCTCCTATCCCCAGCACAATACACAATAGTGTCCCGTAGTCAGCGGGTCCCGGACTCTGGTTGTGCGCGGAGCGCTCGACAACTTGGATCATCTTGGATTCCCTACAAGCTGACTCTCCATGTGCTTCGAAGTCGGCCTCAAGAACAGGAAGAGAATCACCACGAACGAGCACGTAAGGCTTTGAGACCAGAAGATGATCACAAAAGAACACTAATCGCCGCTTTGGCAAGCAAGATGTGCACAAATCGAACCTCGCTCTAGCGAGGGTTGACTGTACTATACTGTACCACTTGCAGTCTTCAAGCAGTTCTCCAGAGCCAAGTTTCCACTACAATGGGAGGCTGGCCCTAAGCCTGAGCCTCGGCCTCTAGAGTCCCTCCCTATTCACAAAGGTTGGTCTTCCACACCGACCTACAGCTATCGTCTCCGAAATCTGTGAAGGGCTAAGTGCCATGGAGTGTCGATCGTTGCGATCTGAGAAAAAAAACGGGGTATGTGCTCCATTCTAAGTGGTCGCGGCCTGTGGCAGGTGAGTTCGAGGCTTTGCTGCCTCAACGCTGGAGTTGCGATGAATCCTTGTGTTGGAACATGCTGTGACAAAGAATCAGCACAAATATGCACAAGCTATTAGGGTAGGAGCATGAAATCAATGTGCAAATGTTGCCAAAGGCCCGAAGGCAAAAGAACAACGGAACCCTTGATGATAATTGCGGAACTCTCTGTTTGTCGGATTTGGGGGGCAACACATTGTCTGATCAATGAGCATGGGCCTCCAAACCCATGTTTGGCCCCAAATGGAGTTCAAGGTGGCCCAGCATGTCTGACGTTCTGAAAAGGGGTAAGCCGTAGACTTCCAAACTGCCTCATGCACCTCATGCTCACCGAAGTCCAGGTATAAATCACCATGGCAACTGCGGGCATTTGAGAGCCACACCACTTGACGCAGGAAGAGTGGGTCATATTCTGGGTCCTGGCTGAGCTGGAGGGATGGAGAAGAGGAGAGAGGCGGCCGAGTTGCTTATCTAGGATACTGCTACTACTACTACTACTACTAGCCATAAATATATTTGAGCAAGGCTGTTCAAAAAAGAGTCGTTCTGAAAAGTGTCCGTCTTGAATACCTCAATCATAACCTGGCAGACTGCCCGAGCAGACCTGATTTCAACGCTCCGGTCGCCTGGTTGCTGAGGTGCCCGAACTCACCGTGGAGCGCCTTCAAGCCTGAAGTCGCTGAAGCCCAACACAGATTGCAATGTTGGGAGTTTCAACTTAAGCCGCAGTGGTTGCAACACATGATACAGGCCAGGACTCCACTCACGAAGTCCTATGACCATATAATGTTGGAAAGAGCGATCGGTTCAGATTCCAAAAGAGTGTCCCTCCAAGAGATCGGCCCAAAGAAGCCTCACCCTGCCTTGTATGTTGGGAACTTCGCACACGGAGAGGCTCTTGCCTGTCAAGCGCTTCTGTTGACACTCCAAAGCACCAGAAGCTGCAAGGAAGAGCTGTGTAGCTTGTAAGACAATAACTCAAAACCATTGTGTATATATATATACACACACACGTGTAACCATTTATGATTGCTGTTAGTATGTTAGAATCATATTTGGATAGTAGGTGGTAGGCTCTCTAAAGTGCAGTCTGTCTTCTCAGGCAAGGGTGCTTGTACTTAGTACAGTCATTGTCAAGCAGATTTCACTCTTGAAGCGTCTTCAGGCCATATTTGCCTCTCGGCCAGGAGCCCTTTCTTAACACTGCAACAAGAATTTGATGAAGTGTAGAATTCAAAGCCAGCGTGCAACTGGGCTCTCTTGTAGCTAAAGCATTCTTGTCGCCACAAAGAAAGCTTTGTTTAAGGAATGTGAACTTCAAGACGAAATAGCATCGCCGCAAATTAAGAGGGGGGGACGTCCAAAAATGTAACTTACATTTTCCTATGTTTTCGGACCTCAAAAATGTAAGCTTACATTTTTTTTTGGACCTCAAAAATGTAAGCTTACATTTTTGAGGTCCCCCTGAATTTTACTAAAAATCCAGGGGGACCTCAAAAATGTAAGCTTACATGTTTCCTTCGTCATAGGAAAAATGTAAAAAACCAATCTGACGTATGTCGAAGTATGCAAACAGCCTGCAAACGACATGCCAAACATTCTCAGAGCTTCTTTTCCTCTCTGCTTCTGGTTTGTGCATTGCATCAAGCCGTATTTTACAGCAAGCTTTTCACCTGCCCCGTCCATAGCTTACATGTTTCATTTGGGTTTCACCGTTTACCTTCCAGACATTCTTGGCCTATTGTTCTAGCTTTCACTCGCCACCAAGCTATGATCTACTACGCAGCTGTGCACTCCCCAGCGTCTTTAGATGTTTTTAGATTACCTTACATTGACATTCATGGTATTTTACAGCAAGCTTTTCACCTGCCCCTTCCATAGCTTACATTTTTCATTTGGGTTTCAACGTTTACCTTCCAGGCTTTCTTGGCCTAGTGATTTGCTTGGTCCTAGCTTTCACTCGCTACCAAGCTATGATCTACTACGCAGCTGTGCAGCTATGAAATAGCACCATCTATTTGATGCATGGAGCCAAAGCAAAAGAGACATTTGACCCAAATGAGCGACCCAAATGAGCCCCCCCGGCTGCTGGCGGGTGCTGACGTCAAAAAGTTCCCATAGAACTCCTGGGGGGTCCGACAGTCGATACCAGGAAAAGATGGGAAGATGATGGCCGATAGACACTGATGTGTATGTGAAAGTTCCCTATATTCCTTGAAGGCATGGTCAGTGTTGTGGGACCCCCAAGAGTCCCAGTGATAGAGCTCTCATCTGCTGACAGGGTTTCGGGACGTTTAAGCCCATCATGAAATCACTCCCCACACGCCCTTCGGTCGGCTCCAAGAAGAAGTCTTGAGCATCACGACCATCCACGAAGCTCAGAATGCAATATCCTGACAGAATGCACGAGGAGCCTGATATTTCTTGAGGTATTCAATAATTGGTCCCTTTTGAAAGCTGAAGCTTTTGTATTGCTCCCCTGCTAGCCAGCAAGCCATAGCTTTCCGCAAACTTCCAGAATTCATATCCCACCGGCTACAGTGTCTTCCCCCCAACATCCAAGACTCCAGCCTTCGTTCTTGCCTTCCTTCTTGCTCCAGGGCAAGTAAAGGAAGTCCTTGACCACCAGATGCCGATCAACTACCAACAGATGAACCTGCTACAGTTTTCTTTCTTGCTTATTGATGTGAATCACTATGATATAATATAATCATGATAATAACATCACAATATATACATACAATTATATATATATACATATTACAATACAGTTTTGCACCTGCCAGTTGACTCCCACCAAACCTCTTGCAACATTTGTCAAACCTTTCTGGGGTCGAAAAAAATGTCTTGTGCTGTGGCTTCCCCACGAGTTTTCCCTCGAAGCCACGGGTCTTCACCTGTAGGTGAGCTGCGAGCAGCTCGCTGGACATTTCTGAACAGGAAATCCTTTGCTAGGAACCCCATTGTGAGGCCTCATGACAAGATTTGCTGGAAGAGCTATGGATAGGATAAGAACTGCAGATTAGGAATCTCCGCGTTCCTTCCAATTCAATTTCCGCTTGCCTCTCCAGCCAAACACCATAATACTCGGGTACCGGATCCTTATGGGGGACGAAGGCAAAAAGGAAAGGGCACCCACCTGACTCCAACAGGAGCTCTCCCCAAAGTTGCTTGCCAAACAGGAGGTGTTGGATTACAGTCTTCCTTTGTCACACTGACTGCCACTACATTCCCTGTCCTTCCAGTTCAGTTTAACCTATGACTAGAGAGGTCATATAGTCAAGTCAAACACCACAAGTACTGGAAAGCCTGGCAGGTGAGTCCATCTCAAAGCAAGCATTGTCGAGCAGTTCTTCTTTTCTGGAACCAAGCAGGGAGAAAGAGAAAAAAAACAAAAGTCCATTCATGTGTCTTAAGAGCTTTTGTACGCAGTCTCCAGCACCACACCTCATCAAGGAGCTCCAGCTGCCTCACAGAGGGTGGGATGTTCTTGAGGAACAAGGTCACCACCTAAGCAGAGTCAGCACAGCCCTGTGTCTGGCTACAAGCGCCTGTGTCCAATGGATTTACTTTAACATGACTGTGGGAATGGGTCAAACCACTGGCATCGATTTTGGTCCGCACTCTTGTTCATCTTGCTCTGTCTTTTGTTTCATAAGATTGTCACCAGTGATCAGCAGCAGGTACTGCATTCTGTGTGGTCTGCTTTTTACCTACATTGACTGCTGATCACGAAGCATAGCCTGCAAAACAGTTTGAGAGGCTCTAACCTTTCTGGAATCACATGTGGGTGGACAAACTTCCAAGCTAATGTTTCTCGATTTAGAGGATCCAGCGTGACTGATCCAAAGCGCATGGCCCATGAAGGGGTGCCTAGCACTGGTAAGGCTGCAAGGTGTTGCTTAAGGCCTGAAGTTTCCCAACACAGGGAAAATCAATGCGGATTCGAAGAGCCATAGCATGCCATAGCATAGATTCTATAAAAAGGGTTCCAGGCCCTAAGGTGTGCACGAATCATCTGTACATGTCGGTCTGGAATGTGGAAGCATTGGCGAAGGAGGAAGCGCGACGACGGGAGCATACCCATGGGGCTCCTGTTTCAAAGATTGACCAATTGATCTTGAACTGTCAAGTCCAGAGGCCCAAGGGGTGAAGACCCTCGTCCTGCATTGTGCAGGGAAAATGCGCTTCTCTGAGCCAAGTCATTCTGTACTTGAAACCCATGTGCAAAGATGTGCAAAGTGGGAAGACCATCGTCTTCTTTGACTCTGATCACTGATCATGGAAGTCAAGCTTCTAAAGCTGCACTTTCTCGCACATGGATGTCAAATCGGTCTGTGGGAGAATTGGCTTTGCGGCCACTTTACGGCATCGGCTCTCGATTCTCTCGATTCTCACCGGCAGGACAGTCAAGGAGTGGCATCTCAGCCCAACTGCTTCGAAAAGGCCAAACTCATTGTATGCAAATGTATGCAAGAAGGATAAGGGGGCATAACTCGTCATATATAGAACTCTTATCGACTCAAACATCTCATGAAGTTTCTCGACCTTCGCAGTTGAAAGTTCTCGGTTGGCTCCATCGCCCCGGGGTTGGCCCGTTGGCCCTCCGAATGGCGCTGTGGAGCTCTATAAAGCTTGTCGAGCTGGACATAGCTGAACAAAATCCAACACATCTCCGGCGCTGTGGCAGGGCCATAAAGGACCATAAACCCCTCGTGGTCTTGGTGCATAACCTGACAAATATCGACATGATGTAACATCTGATGTATCCGATGCACCCTCACGAAACTTCACTTCTGGTGCAAAATAATCTTAAAATCTTGGTTGGAGCTACGTAGTGCCTCCATCTACGTAATTATCTGTATCTACTTGCATATGCCGATTGACCAAGGCTCCAGTTTCAGAAGATTCGTCGCCAGCACGAAGGACGGCAAGTCATGCTTGTCAGGTCAAGCCAGGCCCCATCTTCAGGATCTTTTTCCGAGACTTGTATGCAAGGGATCGGGTAACAAACACGTCACTATAGCTACAAAAAGTCAATAAATGAGTTGAAGCTTCCTGTCAAGTGTCACATCCCAAGCCTGCAACCGTAGGGATTGGAAGCATCATGAACAAAAACAACTAAGTGGAGTTTCTCGTTTTTCTGACAGGGTCTGGGCGCTTGACCTGGGCCGGAGATCTGCTAGCTATAGACTTCAGAATGGGTAACTGGCAGCCACATTGACAGTGTTGAGACTTGGTTGAAAATGTTCTGGTCAGGCTTCTCAATAGTGGCAGCTTCGAAGAGAACAGAAGGAGACGGCTTTAATCAAAGGTTCTTAATCAAAGGCTGACACAAAGCCATGTGAGCCTCGTGTGACCATGTGGTTTGAAAGCATGCAAAAAGAATTGCAGAAGCTCGTGTTGGTGCAAAACTGTGGCTGTCTCGTCTGTAGTAGTTAAACCCCCCAATGCCGACAACAAAAGCAGCATTGGATCATTCTAAAGCTCGGCTGGTCCGTTAACGTGATTGATCCGGACGTCTATCCGACGGTCAGATCAACCAGCAAAAGTTGCGATTCAAATGCTTCTCAAGCCATTCTCCTGCGACAGCAGAATCTGGTCACATCGACGTTCAAACACCCACAAAATACGCTCCAAAGGCTATAGATCTACTATATTACTCTTATATTTCACTGGGAATCTTCCTGATGAAAGCTTGATGAGATACTCATGAAAAAATAAGGCAAGACACATCCACATGCTCCAGACCAGTAGGCATCTAGGCTCAGCTGAAAGAATTCAAACGGTACGGCCACCTTTGTGGGCACATCCATGTGTGTGTGTGTGTTGCATGTGCCTTGCAGAAGTTGCACAAGTCATTACAATCGGTTCAGTGTTAAGATTTCTCAAGAACCCGTTTCCCGTTGCTCAAATATCAAATGGGTTTGTCCTTTAGTAGGAGGACCTCCCAACCAGTGGATGTTTGATTTTCCCAGAGGTCTTTGAGGGGTCTCACTAATACACACCCAAATCTTTGCAAAGCTCTTATTATATACAAATGTGTGGAGCTGTGGGCGACTTTGCCAAGGCTTTCTTTCTTTAAGAACAGTCAGCACCAAATTGCCTATCCCCGGCGAGAATAGACTAAGGGTACGGTATGAATGTAATTCTGATTCCGGTACAAACCTGAAGCAAGTTAACCTTTGACGTCGTGCGGCCTGCATCATCTTGACAGCTTCACGCAAAGGCAGCACTTTAATCCTCGGGCATTACGAGATGAACTCCAGCACTAGGCCAGGCAACAACAGAATGTCTCACTCATGTTGCAGGGGCAACTCTCTAGATCTCCAAAAATCTCACAAGAGGAAGACTACCCAGCACTGTGTCTTTGGCGCCAGTGGTTCAAGAATGTCTTCACTGGACTGCACTACAAAGGCCAGAACCAGGACCAAAGCTGAAAATTCCAATGGGTTGCGAGGACACCGGCGCATGCATATATACAGTGTGTGTATATCTTTATACAGTATATCTTTTGTGTGTGTGCACTCATTTCCGGCCATCAGGACATGAATATCACCGTTGATAGTTTGAAGAATCACAAAGCCTGGGTTGCCCACAGGGTATGCCCGGCACATGTCTGACAATCTATAATTGGCGGCACCTGTACGTACGAGTACTGCTGTGAATATCAAGCAATTGTAGTGAAGTAACGTCCACCCCATATCACCCAACCCTCCAAGCAATGCACTTGCATTGCAGCAGTAAGGTGGCAAGATATATTGACTTTGCGAGAGCCAGGTAGCTGGCTCGTGAGGAGCATCAGTACCTCCTGCACAGGTCGAGATTTATGGGCTTGGATTTAACACTAGCATGTAATGATGCGAGAAAATGAAGAAAAAACTGCCATGCTGGTGGCATCGGATATGGTACTACATGTACTACACTACAAGGTACTGTCGTCTTTTTCCTGCTGGACTCTGGCGATGGGAAATCCCCATAATAAATCAATGCATAATCTGAAGCCTTGATATTGCGGATCGAAGGGAGGCATCTTCCTGTCAAAAGGGTCTGTAGCATACAACAAAGGAATTCAAGAAGCTCGCAAACACCAGGACCTGCAAAAACCTGCAAAGTCCAGCTGTACTGAAAGCTGTCGGAAAAATCTATCTTTTGGAATTTGTTTCTCGGCTTCTCGAGCCGCCACCTTGTTACTAGTAGTTTCTTGCTACTAGCAGTAATGGCCTCCAACCTACTAGCGATGGCCTCCAACCTAATGATTCTTGCTACTAGTTTAATGTCCTTGTTGCTAGTAGCTTCTTTGTACCATCATGCACCATGACCTCTCCTCATGGCTGCCAAGGCTGTCTTCTTCCAGTGCAATCTCCTCTGCCGTGCGACCCTGGGAGGTCTTCTGCTGCGGGTCTGCCCCTGCTGCCAAGAGCAGGCGCACAATCTCGCAATCCTGTGCGCCAAGAACCAAATATTTGGATTCCGACAGCACGCTGACCACACCGTCTCCTCTCATGACAAAACCAGTGCAAAAAGGGGTATGTACCAGTCAATGGTGATTGTATTGCTGTACATGGCAGCTAAGTTCTTAACAGCAAAAACAGAAATTATATACTATACATAGAACCCCAGCAAAGCAAAGTGCCATACAAGGAAGCACGTTTGGGGAGTTCCAGGTAACTCGCATATTCTACAGATCAAAGGGTCCAAATCAAGTGCTCACAACTGCCAAGTTGGGCCGAGGAACACCAAGCTTGGCTGCCTGGTGGAGGGGATAGAAGACTTCTTTGGGCTTGCCGAACGGCAAACAGAGTGCTCGGGAACTGCGAGGCTCATTCACATCCTTGAAGGCTGGTTCGAGCAGCGGAATGGTGAGGCTTTCTTGGTCCTTGCCTTTAAAATCAGAAACAATTAGAAACTAATGTGTATGAATCATATGAGTATATATATATATATTCGGCTGCATCAGTTACACTTGACTTGATGTGTGACGAGTCGGACTCGGTTCATTTCTCTTTCGCGCGAACTTCAAAAGTCTTGTTCAAAAGTGCTTTGGTTAATGTGACCCTGTCACAGCAGCCCACGCTGCGCGCACCCCTGGCGCATACCTCTGCCAGGTATTCGTTCCCTACCTGTACCTGGTAGACTCCTCAAAATAGTCAAGAGGATACTGAATATGTCAGTCCTATGACTATGTTGGAGTGGGATGAAAAACAGAAACAATGCAGTAACCTAAGAGTCAACACTCGTATACTGCCAATACAGTGACCTACAATTGCTCCGCAATGTCACTGAAGAAAATGGTATCTGGACTCACGACCGGAGTATTTTGCCTGGCCGACTGCTGCAAAGGTTGTGGCTTTTCTGCCGACAGCAGCCACTAAAACAGTCAAATCGGTAACGAGAAAAATAAAATGGACACCATGGTAACCCGCAGTCCATTAGCTCATTGCCAGAGCAATTGGCCAGGCCGACAGCTGCAATTCATCTGGCTTGTGGCAGACTGCGCCAGGGTGACG